ACTATTTATTACGAACGTAGGTTTAACCGAATAAAATTGTCTTGATTATTTAGTTGTGTTGACTTCCCGCCATTTCGCAAACCGGACGTGAGCGTTAGGATTAACCAATGAAAATTGTAATTTAGGATATTCGCGCTGACCTTTCGCTGATAAATTGCCGCGAACGTAGAATTAGCCAAATACACTCACCCTGCCTATTTAATCGTGCTGACCTTTCCGCCATTTCCTAGATCTAACGTACGTGTTAGGTTTATATGAATTAGAAGCAGTGGTTGAGTTATTCGCGCTGACCTTTCGCTGACAAGCTATTACGAGAATCGGATTAGCCGAATAAGATTACCGTGCTTATTTATTTGTGCTGACCTTTCCGCCATTTCGTAAACCGAGCGTGAGCGGTAAGATCAGACAAAGGAAATTCGTGAGTGAGTTATTCGCACTGACCTTTCACCATTTTTGTTAATTGAAGACTGACCGGAAAATTGTTAACGTTTCGATTAATTTGTATCCTTACTAATTTATTATTATTCAGAATTTTACCGACCATATTCACTCCGATCTTTTATGTGTGAATTATTAATACGTCAATAAAGTGATTAATTATTTATATACGATTTACTGTGTTATCCTACCTCTATTGCATGCTAGTGATTTTCAGCCGCGAGCGGTTACATACGGGTACCACTAATTCGCTGTATTTTCGGGTCACTCGATAGGTAACATACGCGCGAATTCTAACGTTCTCACGACCTGAATTAAGGAGCCATCACCTGAGCTGCCGACATACCATAATTAAGGAGGAAAAATAGAGAAGGAGAGTTGGACACCAAGGCCTGAAGTGAAGATACCACGCGTATCCCCGGTCTGCCCACCCTGCGCAGTCGCCGTTAAGCAGACCGGGATACGCGACAACCCTACCGGCCTTACCCCCGAGGGTAGAGCCAAACAGGCCTTGTGGCGGAAGAAACTCGGAGCGCGGTTAAAACCCCCGAAATTCCCTGCCACAATGTATAAAATAAATCAAAATCATTCCCAAAATATAATATAAACACATGCATACAGTACACATGATTATTCCTTAATACTAAAAAATCTCATTAATTTTACATGATTATATCTAATTAATTTATAAGTTGTTCCACTGTAAATTACATTACAATTAATTGTACAAAATGTTAAAATAAAACTACTATACATATTTTATAACAATAGTTAATATGCATAAATTCATTTCCTAAATTATAGAATCTTAACTAATATAATTTGGCTTATAATATACAAATTAGGTACTAATAACGCATGAGTTTAAATCTATGCTGACACAAGTAAGGAATAATAATAATTTTATAAACTGTTGTCGCCTTTCGTACTTACTTTTAAGATTTCTGAAACCTTTTCATATATTAAATTGCGTTGCCTCGCATGAAAAATCAGCGAGATACTAATTTTCACTTTTCTATTTGCACGATATAATCTCATTGTCTGGACTCTTCTCTGTCTACGTCAACGTCTAACCTTTGACTGTGTATTCTCCAATAATCTTCGTACAATGTTAGTATTCTTCAAGTCTATTAAATTTAAATTTACGTTAACTATTGATTTCCTAAAAGTATTTCTTTCAATGCCTCTCTTTTGAACAACATTACTTGAATCTGAAAAACTTTAAATAATCATGTATTAGTATAATTTATACTACTATTATGTAAATGAATAAATCTTATTCTAAGTATTACCTCCTATTTACATCCCTTTCTATCGCAACTTGCTCTGGATCCATACAATTATATTCTATGCTTGGTAAATGACAATCATCTAATTGTCTGAAACAAAGAATCGTATCACCCCAAGATAAATTATCATATTTGAATACAGATAAAGAAACTGATTTGAATAGTAAACCATACCTTGTATCAAAATTGTTTTCATAAAGGTCTTTAGTGATGCTGGTATCATTCGTTGAACTTGTAGATGATGGAACCATGCTCACTTTTGAGGACAAATCTATTTCGTTACTAAGTAAATCACAATTATTTGTATCTGATGAACTTTGTATTGGTTTATTTTGCTCCGTTTTTACAAATTTCGTTAGACATCTCCCCTTTTTAAGCCTTACTGCTTTAGATAAACCTCCATAGTTGAAACATGGTGGTTCAAAATGCATAGCACAAACATAAGAATATATTTTAAATTCTATTTCAGTCTTAAAATACTTTTTTATGCTATTAGCCCATTCATTTTGGGAATCCTCATCTTTCGGTACTCTAAAAAATATACAAACAAAAGTAAAAACAACGACAAACTTGAGCCCTTCCTCGAAACTAACCACAAAATACATATATATACTACGTATTTAACTTACCGAAATAAATTCAAATTTAAACAGTCAGGATCATCTTTCTGCAATCTGCAGTTGGGAATGCAGCACTTTTTAATCATCTTTTATATTTACGTACACAAAAAACCATTTAACAAAATATTTATCAACTGTCAGATTTGCGATGGACGACTTTTTCCAGTGTAAATATAGGCAGCCAATCAAGTGCCACTAGAGAGAGATAGCATATCCTCCCATACATGCTATCTCTCTCTTCGACTGGTAACACGCTTGACCGCTACCTCCAGTATATATGCTCGAAGTGAGAATCTGATGATGCTACTAAAAATTTTATTTTCACGAAGTCGTATCACATCTATATCATTTATATAGCTATAACCAAGATGCTATGGGAATGTACCCACATTTCCCCAGCCTGCAGCATACCATGAAACGAAAAAAAAATACCACCAGAAAGGACATTAATTGCACCCTCTAAAACTACAATTATTTGTAAATGAACCCCTCTGAATTATTAAAAAAAAAAAAAAAAAAAAGCAGATGGCATTTTTAAACCGTCGATTAATTTGTAAATAATGAGTTTTTTAAACAATCTAAAAAGTATAAAAATTCAACCCTGGCTTGTTTAATTTGCACCCTTCTTAGTTTTGGAATATAATTAAATCTGAGCTAATAAAATTACATCTAATATTTTTGCTTATCAAAGCGATTGGCAGACGTTCAATACGCAGGCGCGGCTGACATTTTTGAATTCCAAAAGTAAGGCTCGCTCTACAACAACAAATGTTGAAATGACCGACCCTGGGCCAGATCTCGAACTTGAAGAAGAAAAAAAAATAATATAGAAAAAAATATTCATTTTGTTGGGAAATTTATTATGGTTTGGCCTATTTCTATTTCTCGAAAAATACCTGGACCATTTTTATTTCGATTAATGCGTGTTAAGTCATTTTGAGATGCTATTATAAATATATTGTGTGGGTGCAAATTACAAAATTCATTGATTAATCATTGGTGGGCTTAGATAAGCCATTGTCAATGATTTAGTTTTGATTTTTCCCATTATTTGTCCATTTAACAGCTGCAAGCTTTAACAAGCCGTGGCGCCGAATCGGGACTCGCGCGTACAGACAGAAAACGTTACTATTGAATTAATTAAAAAATGACTAGCTAGTAAAATTGAACCTTAGCCGATAGAATTTGCACCCTTGTTATATTTCGACGAGAAGGCTTTTCCCGGCAGATTTTCCGCCGTAAGGCGTTGACAGTTCGTGGGCATGACTTTGTCTTTTTGCGGCAGCGATGGCAACGTAACTATTGCAATTATTAAAAAAATGAATAGCTAGTAAAATTGAACCTTAGCCGATAGAAATTGCACCCTTGTTATATTTCCACGAGAAAGCTTTTCGATGTCCACGATGGTAGCATCGTACCTTTGAATATCTCAAGTTTGCCGAATGATGCCGAATAATCTATAGTATTTGGTAAATGATTTAAATTCGAAATTTTAGACTTTATTTTAAAATTTAACGGTCAAGCTCATGTCTTCAATATAATCATTCGCATGAAACATTTCTCGCAACGTCAAAAATGAAACATTCATATCCTCTCATCTATATATTATATTGCAAACTGTTATGTTATATTTATTGTCAAATACTTCAATCTTTATGAAATTTTATTTAGAAAAAGGATGGATGAAAAATTACATGCCAAGGTATTGTATCTTAATTCACAACTATTCAGCACTTTTATATACCATTTGCAAATGTTTCACAACTATTTTCATCAAGTTTTTTCAGGGAAAGTGTAGCTAGGTACCTAATGGGATTCAGAGAAGTGAAAAACACAGATTCATTACTGTTAATGGCATATATTTATCATCTTTATATGGGTCTACTAAGTGGTGGGATAAATCTTAGAAAAAAAGGGCTATTATACAAAAAATTAGTCCATTGAGAGATACATCAAACGGTGTAAATCATCTTACAGACTTCGGTGAATATAGTATTACCCCCGTGCATTGCAAAAAGCCGTTGTGTTGGGGTCGCGTAGTACTGCGCCTCCGGCATTCATGCGTCAGATCGCTGCCGCGACCCTTGATTTACAAATTAAAATGTTAATTGCGCAACACAATGAATAGTATTGCAGACACTTTAGATGAAGAAACAAAAAATAGACTTCCTGAAGAAAATAAAACTGTTTATATGTTGAATAATGAAATTATTAGGAGTGTCAAAGGCGCAGGTAGAGTGATTGTCAAGAAAGTTGGATATTTTTTTATGGCTCTTGTCTTTATCATCATCGTCTTCCTCAACTTTAGACAGTCAATTACAGAACTAACTCTTCGCATTATCCGAAAATGTATATTTATTTTTTTATTTGCACAAGTTCTGCAAATAAATTACTATTTTATTAATAATTATTAGAAAAATATAATGGTTTATTGTAAATGTAAATTATTTTTGTCGGTAGACACTGTAAGGAAAGTAATATATTCCAGAACAAATTTCATAATCAAAAAAATTAAACTATGTATTATGAGAACAGCTAGTATTGAGTACAGCAATTTATACAAACAATCATTTGAGCGGTTTCTGCATAAATATTAGAAAAAATAAAGAACAAGTTTAACTTGTCATTTATGTATTTTATAGAGCCAATTTAGAATTTTTATATTTTTCTCATTCACTTATTTAAATCAACGTTAACACTTTTACAGCGAAAAAAGGTTAATAAACGATATTCAACATATCTCAATACTATTGATAGTCTGTAAATATTTTATTTTGGAACTATACAGATCATGTTGCTAATACTGCAATTGTATTAATCAGTAAAATTCATCCAACTTATTACACAAGGAGCAACATAAAAGTCATTAAATCATTTTACTACATCTCTTAATATACATTTGTACCATTCACCTAAAATATTTCTACCAATTTCTACTTAACATTGGAAAAAAATATTAAATTTCATTTACGCAACTTAAAATTGCCAATAATTTAGTAATAATAATGACAATTATTAACATTTTTTCGGTTATCGTCATTAATTTGATAAATTAATGTTAATATAACATAAGAGATAAAACTAGTTTGGCAGTGAAAGCTAATAATCAAATTATACACTAATGAGATCACAGAAGTTTTCTATACTTAATTGCTTCTTATACTATTTATGTTATAAGCAATTAAGTATAGCCTTTTTATCAAATTTAAAATTTCTCCCAAACTTGCGACTTAAAATCAAACGCTCCAAAATCTCTTGACCTCTGTTACACTGTTTTTTCCGTCGATTTTCTAGCTGATTTCCCAGAGTTGAACTTGTCATTTTCTACAAAAAAAAATACTTGAATTAAATAAAATACTATAAAAACAAATGGTCGATGAATTAATTACTTACCTTTTTTTTTCCTTGTTGCCCGTTGGCGTCTTACTAATGTTTTCTGGATGCTTAACTGCCAAATTTGTTGTATCTTTTAATAAAGCGTTAGACTTGTGCTTTAATGGGCTTTCTGTCAATTGTTTTGCTAGAGATGCTCGAGACTGCTCTCCGCTTTGTTCACCAAACCAGTTACAATAAAGAACGCCACTTTGATAACGGAATTGCAAATATTGTACTTTACCTGTAAAAAAGTGTATGTTACGTGACGCTTCATTGTATTATTTTTTAATTTTGTCAAATAATATTTCGGACCCGAGATTTCCGTTCGGACATAGTATAATCAGCAGTATTCGTGTGCGCGACTCGGTGGGAACGTGCGGAAGAGGCTAATTCACGCTGCGCCAGCATGCTGCGACGGCATGCTTCGGTCAGCGTGCTTAGCTAGGTAAGAAGAGCCGATACGAGAAGCGTAAACGTTTAAAGTATATGTGCGAGAGAGAGACGAAAAGCGAGGGACAAAAGATATATAACGAACCGGCGTAAACAACGAATCTATCCTTAGTCAGTCAGGAGTCAGCGCTCGACTAAGAAGCCTGCAAGAGTTTGAGAATATTACAGTAAAATTATATCGAAATACCGAGTATCGTTATTTCTAACGATTTTTTTTGCGTGAACGAAAGTCATACCAGGACTCACTTTATTTGCTATTGGAATACTATTGGAATATTATTGGATAAAGAAAATATATTGGACCAGTTGATCCGATCGGATACAAAGGAAAAGAATATATCGGACATATCACAAATCAAACGATATTTTGGACCTAGACGACAGAGTGAGTACTTTTGGGCTCTATTTTCGATAAGCTGAAATCTCTTCCTTATTGTTTTTTTTTTCTTTATTATCTCTCCCCCTCTTCGCTCTAATTCTACTAAGCATAATCAAGGTTCCCCTTTCGGTGAATCCACGTGATTGCGTACCGGGACCAAGTGTGTAAACACCGCTGACCGCGCAAATTAAAATATTTATTTTAATAAATCGCGAACCATATAGTAGCGCGATATTATTATGAGAAGTGTTATCCGACGTATTAAAATATATATATATATATATATATATATACCTATCTAACATACCGACGTAAGTTCATTTAAGTCAATCGGCGAAGCCCCCTCCCTTTTTCCTTCCCGATTACTGCCGCCTGGCTCTCGCAAGGACGAACTCCGGATATTATCGGTAAAGACGCGATCCATTCGGTGACACGGTCGGGGTACCGTACTGAAGGTCTAGTCCGCCCGAGTCGGGACCACTCGGAGCTAAAAACGGTCTAACACGTGCCCGTTTTGAAGATACATCAAAACTGGCACGTAACAGTGTATTTATGACTTATCACTGAAGTACTAGTCACTGGGGCAAATATTGGAATAGGTATTAATTCAAATAAGAACTCTAATTTATTTTTATTACTGTTATTGATAGGTGTGTTTTAGATTTTTTTTTTGACATGTTCATAAGATATTAAAGCTAAGTTATTAGAAATTTGAAAATAATTTTTATTTGAAAGTGGCTACCATATTGAACAAGTTATTAATAACTGCAGAACATCGCTTTCAATTACGACATCCAAAAGATTGGGAATTTATCAGTGTTTGTAACATTATATTTCATTCACGAAATATAATCTCATCAAAGTCAACGTTTATTCTTAATATAGTTATACTTATTTTCAGCGCAAATATTATCTAAATATTAAAATGATATAAATTCAGTTAGAAAATAAGTTACTTATATAAACATTAAACCACATGAACTGTTGACGTAATGCATACTATGGCCCAGTGTTTGGCCATACTAATAGTACACCTGCTACAACAGTGGACAAAAAGTGGTGAAAACGCCATCAGCCTTTTATTCTTGACTAATTGACTTTAAGTATAACTTCTCGTATCGTCAAAGTACAATAATACCAGATTAGTAATAACATGAAGCTCAACTACAGTGTCCTAAAATTAGAATTATCAATTTAAAATTTGTATTAATATTAGCATTAATTGCAAATGCTTTAAATTAAAGACAATTACCATCACTTGAAATACATTTATCCCATCCTGGAGGTACCTCTCTTGTAAGGGTTTTCTTACTACCAGTCTGAGGATGTGTACATTGCATATAACCTTTTGTCAAATGACTGCAAAGTAGACAGAGGGTGTTTAAATGAAAAGGATTTTATTTTAATAACATTTGTTGCCTCTCAAATTAATAAACTATTACTTAAATAAGTAAGCGACTAGTCACTGAAAACTTATTAGCATTATGGTCTAGTGAGTCAGTTTATTTCTCTCGCACAAACTACAAAGTAATTCGTAATCATCCCTTGCTTAGGAGCTAAATCTGGAATAATTGGTAATTCACATGTTGGACTTGAAGTACAATGAAATATTTATAAACTTAAGAAACGTGTAGTATTTAGTTATAATAACAAACTTACTGTATACATTTACAATTAGATCCTTCAAAAAAAAATTCAGCCAAATAAGATATGCATAAAACACGCCTGACATGTCGATGCCTACACAGTGGTTCATGCCTACAAAAATCTATATCGTACCAAGGACAATCTTTAACTTTAGTTTCTAGATAAATATGTAAATGGAGTATTCTTTGCTGTTACATGCATCTGAAAACGTGAAAATAATCATGATAAGAATAGAATCTTGTCAAATTATTTGAAGTTGTCATGTTATTATGAAATCATACTTACTGTAACATGAGTAGAAGTAGCATTCTGGCATTTTTGACTATATCATACTCGTACAAAAATTTACACTGATCTCCTTTTTCACACAAACGTCGTCACGAATGTACCCCTTAACTTTCATTGATATATATTTTGATTACACATTAACTTTGTACAGTATTTCATTTATAAAAAGCATCCAGATCATCAACAATGAATAGAGTAAAATTGTATATCGTCTTGTCATCACTAGAAAATTAATCGGATCATATAAAACTTAATTACAAACGATCTCTGAAATATAACTTACTTGAGATACATCATGCATAAACACTTGGCTTATTTTGTAGACAGCATGTGGTGACATGAATAGGACAATAACTATTTTTTCAAAAAAAAGCTTTTTCAAATTAAGCTTTTTCAAATTAAGCTTTCTTTTAGTCATAATCCAGTGACCTCTATATTCAATTAAGCAAAAAATTTCAAATCTGAAACAAATGAAAATCGTCCTTTGTTGAATCCAATTTCAATAGGTGATTCATTCAAAGTGTATTTTGTTAATTATACTATTGCCAAAGAACTTTATTGAACAAATTCATTGTTTCACTGTGTGTGTGAATATATTTTCATAAATTTTGATTATTCAATATATGTTGTTGTAGATTCTAAGTATTTTATTAATATAGTGAAAAATGGTTGTCCGTAATAAGGCAGTGTCAGCTGAAGAAATAATAGAAGCACTCATTGATTTCAATATTTATATTGAATCCAGCAATAAACTAAAAAAAAGAAAGATCCTGTTTGGCAAAAATTGTGTGATAACTTAAAAAATAAAATAAAACCTTTAAATTTGTATATAAAAGTGCAGCAAAATAGACATAATTTTCAGACTTTATATTGTAAAAGAAAAGAACTACAATTTTTCAACAAACCAGTTTGTCAAAAGAATAGTGATGAGATTTCTGAATTAAACAGTGAACAAGACGAAAGTGAAGATTTATCAAGTAAAAAGAAGAGAGGTCAGAATTTGAGATTCAAGTTTGAAATATCTCCAGAAGAATGGTTAAAAATAGAGCCAGTAAAAGGAATGTACAAAAATGGTAGGGAAAGTCAATGTTTACAAGCTGGCTGGACAGACAGTTTAGTAAGAGAAATCTGGAAAGTTGAAAAGTTGCCCTGCAGTTATAATTTTGAAAGACATACTGTAGAAAAATATAATAAATATATTGACATCATAGGCTACTGCACTATTTGTAAAGCTGATTTGAAAATTTATTATGAAGAATGGCCCATAGATGGAAAACCAATTGTGTTTCAAGTGGAAACCAAAAATTCTCATGGAATACCTCATTCCAATAAAAGACGCTTGGCTGGTCCCCAAAGGATTGCAATTAAAAAAGAACTAGAGTGCAAAAAGCTCAAACAGTGGCGACGAGAAGAGGCAATCAAGGAAATGAAGTATGGAGATCCAGAACCATCATTTTTGTATAGCCCAAGTGTGATCAGGAAAGCTAATCACGAATTCAAATATGAAAAATTAGGTCTGAAACCAGGTGAGAACTTATTTGTGTCCTTCGACAAATTAAAAAAGATGTGGAATACAATAAATATTTCAAAGGAATTGGATACGACAAATTTTTTTTGATGTATTGGTCACCTGAACAAGTAAGTGTCCGTAACGACATTCAGTTAAAATTGAGAAATCCTATGTCTCTTGATGCAACAGGATCAGTGGTTCTAAAAATCAAAAGACCTGATGGAGAATGTCATGATATTTTTCTAACCGTACTGTCAACTTTTATAAATAAACTAATTGTACCTGTTTGCCAAGTATTATCAGAAAAGAATGATACTAATTTTTTATCATTTTGGCTACTCGAGTGAAGGAAATCAGGTGCAAAAGTACCAGAATTCATTGTTACTGACATGGGTAAAGGTATACAAAACGCTGTCTGTTTGGCATTTAATGGAGTCAATTTTTCTAATTACAACGATGAGTGCTTCACATATATCTATTAAAAAAAAATTATAAGATTAATTTGAATACCCATTTAAGAACTAATGTGGCACACTTAATACATGCTGTAACTAGGTAGCCTTGCTTTGCTAAAGAGAAGCAGAAAATAAATGAATTATTTAAGCGATGTGTGGGCTACATGACGCAGATTGACAATCTACAAAATTGTTCAGAGTTTCTGGTAGCTCTCTTCATTGTATCTGGCACCAAGTACAATGATGACTATTGTCAAAAAGCTTTAGTCTATTTAATTGAAAAAATCCAAACATATGAATTGAATAATAATAAAGTTAAAGAAGAAATAAATATTTTAAATGAAAAAGAAACAGTAGATATTTTTATAGAGACTAAAAGTGGCAATGGAAAAAATAAATTAAGACTTACACATAAATATATAGAAGAATTAAAAAAGAAAAGTACTGAAAACAATTTTAACAATGACAATTCTTTAGATTTCCGGATACAATCAAATGATTATTATTATTTGCCTGGATTTCTTGACAGATTATCAAGTTTATGCTATGAGTTCCCATGCTGGACAAATGTCATGAATCACTATTTTAACAATACTGAAAACGTGGCGACTTCAGCCAGAGCTGAAAGCTACTTTAGTGATTTTAAATGTTTAAATGGCGTTTCGCAGAGAGCAGATATAGTTTTCGTAAACCATTGTCGTCAAATAAATAGTGACATGATACTAGCACGTGCTGCATTGAATGATTTGCAGCCAAATCAGTTTGCCATACCAAAGAAATGTGATAAGGATGACAATGATTTCCTTTTTGCAACAGAAAGTTGGAAAAGAAAGTCAACAGGACCAGAATTTACTGAGTTTTTTTCGGAAACAATTGACAGTACTGAATCAATTATGGAAAAGTTAGTTTATGGAAAACACGATTCAATTCTAAAAGATAAAAAGATACCTAAGGAAAGAAAAAATGCTCCCTCCTGTTCAGAATCAGTAATAGTAATAGATGATAGCAATGACTCTGATTTGCAAGCGTTCTCTGATAATGTAAAATTGACTTCATCATTTTGCAATGATAACATTGAGAATAGCAATCATGCCTCTGAAAAAGTAAATTCACTAGTATTAGATAGCAGCAAATCACAATCTACTGATTTTTATAGCGACCATAGCTACCACATACATGCAATGACAGAACCAGAAAGAAATTCAACAAATAAAACTCGTGGTAAATATTCTCGGCTGAACCAGAGTTAGATTTAATATTACAGAAGCAAAAACAAAAAAGTAGAGGTAGAAAAGTGATCCAAAATGGAAACAAACAGCATGAAAGAACAGTATATGGCAAAAAGTATAAATTTACGAATACATGTGCATTTCATATAGTCACAGAAATTATAACTTATGCTTGCTTTGAAGTGCAACTTTTCAAAGAATTCATACAGGCAAATATCAATAAAACTTGGTCTACACAAAACTTGTGCTATGCAAGTACGATTTCAAACTATGCAACAGCATCAATAACCAACACTTTATACAGTAATAGGGCTTACATACTTTATTCAATGCAAAAAGAACTAAAAAACTATGAAATAAATTGTGAAACTAACATTAATAATTTATTATGCTCTCTAATGAAAAATTACAGCTGTATTAAAGAAGAAACAGTCTGTCAAATTTGTGGAAATATATCTAATAAAAACAAATGCCTGGTTCCATTACCAAATACAAATATCATAAAAAAATATAATTATAGTAATTTAGAGGACAAACTAAATAAATATTTTGAAAGAAAAACTGTTTTTTGTGTAAATTGTAATAGCAACAATGCCTATCTATCTCATAAAATGGGTGCTTACTTATGTATCGACACTGAAGATGGATATAAAAATTTTGATGATAATGAATTGGATATAACTACGTCTTTGGATAAATTACCAATTACCCTAAATATAAACACTGATACCTTTGCTCTATATGGTGTTGCAAGATATATCCCTTCAAGCTTCAAAGGTGGTATGGGTCATTATGTTGCTTATTGCAGGAAAGTCAATGGCACTTGGAATGAAAGAAATGACTTATTGACATTTAAAAGCACAGTTACAGAATCTGAAACAAAATGCTTGCAAATGAAAATTAGTTTCTTATTTTATGCTAAATATGTATAATAATTAATTAAATATGTAGTTTCCATTATAATAAAAATAAGTAAAATAAAACTATAATATTGTATTAATTGTAAATAGATATATTAGTTCCAAATTCAATCATTCATATCTATATAGGTAAACTAGACAATATTGATTGTTTTTTTTCTCTTCAAGCTTAAATATCTTCACTTATTTGTTTAATTTTGTATCATACTAAAAATTCATGTGATTCAGTCTCATCGGATCAAATTAATAAGACTACTGAAAGATATTTATCCAACAAGGTTACGGCAACATGGCCGAAATATTCAAAATGGTAATTATTATGTTCATTACAAAAGTTCATAGATACTCGTATTGAAAAAGAAAGAGCTTCTTTAATTATTTGGAAATATTAAATTATGAAGTAATCGTTGAGAGTACAATTGCTAAAATTACTTACTACTTGATAACGTGAAAGCAATTTCAGTATGCTTTTTCACGAAAACAAATTGTTGCATGTATTTTATAACCATAGGCTCCATGGTTGAACCTTAGGGACTGCTATAGCCTCCATGGCATGGAGAAAGTGCTAATGTGATATACTTTTCGATTTTCGGGATACTCTTACATGCGAGCGGCAAGTGGTGAGCAGCAAGCGGAAAATCCGATTTGAGTGATTTGATGAAAGTTTTTCCGATATAACAGTCAAAAAACTGTCCTAGGGTCCTAAGGCGGCTGCGTCTATCTTTCTACTACTAGCGGAACTGCGGAAGCCTGATAGTCCAGTAAAATTAGACCTGAAAACAATTTTCTATAGAAGTGGATGCATTTAGTATATATGATAAATTAAGGTCGATAAAACCGATTCTGACATATTCAGAGCTCTAGGTGAAGGGGATCTATGAAAATCGAACGTTTGAAACCTATTATTGCTTATATCTCGCGAACGGTTAGACCTACGGACAAATAACACACACCAATCGAAAGAGCATAAAATTTTACATAAATTACAATGGTTTGCGCAGCTTCGATGAGCGCAAAATGTTGAAAAAAAATTAATAAAAAAATTTATTTGAATGAAATAGGAGGGGAAGGTGCGCATGGCTTGCTTGACGCTCTCCTCTACCGCCAGTTAGTCCAGGAAAAATAGGATTTGAGGCGGTTTTTCATTTCGGCAAGACGATTATTTTTTGACAGGTTGTGTGAACGGCGTACATTAAGATAACAACTATCCATAGTCTGAGAAAGTATCGGAACATTGTTAAAATGTCCATAAACTAATAAATTTTGTGACTTTTTTCGTTCTTTTCTTTATAACTTTGTTCCGTTAACATTTACAACAAAATAGTTAAATACTTTTTTGTTCGTGAATAAATTACCTACAAAACCATAGGTTGCACGTAAAAAAATATCATCAGGTAAAAAGTTATTAACTATTAACTTTTGTATTTTGAAAATCTTATAAACAATTTTTTTTTAGCGTTGTTATAAACATTGTGCCACCGCTTCTCGTTGAATGGTGTCTTTTTGTTACGAGATGATGTGTACGGAATCGCGAATCTGTAAGTTTAATAGTTTACGAGTTATCGTCTTATAAACAAATTACATACTCGTTTATTTTTTGAAGCCCAATTGTTATCCACTAATGAAAAAAAAATTTACGTTATGTCTTTCAATGCCCTCTATCGATTTCCAAAATGATTTATAAAAAAAAATCAAAATTGCGACCGTGGGAGCAAAAAAACAAAAGCGACCTTAATTGCAAAATAGATTAATAACATTTTCAGTAATTTTTTTGTAATAATTATTTTGGGTTTGGATAGCAATTCAAATAAACTTCAATTTAAAACAACGATGGCACAGATCCGTTGATAAACAAAAAAGTTACAGGAGGCAAAGTTTTTGGCTTATTGTTCAACAATTTATGCCACTAGTGGAAAAAAAAAATATCGTCATTGGCGGAATACCTCTAGTTTTTAGGGATGAAAATTTCAAGTCTATGGGAAAAAGGTAAACGGCTTAAAAAAATTTGGGAAAATCAGCCCTCGGCAATAATTTTCACGATCTATCGCGCGGCGGCGGAGTGGGGGAAGCCAACGAATACTCGACAGAAAAATTGAGTCTGGCCCTCAAAATCAGCAGCGCAATTAAAATCGCTATTTTCTCGTTAACTATTCAACATATTTTCATCATTTTTCTTTTAATTTGATACCCCGCGACGAGAGAAATCTATTCCCGCTATATAAAATGAGCAAAAGTTATAAACAATGGCATAAAATTTATTTATAAAAAAATGTCATTTTTTTTCTTCATTATTATTAACAGGAATGAACTATTATTATATAGGTAAGTAAAATCAAGCATTTTAACATTTTATTTTCAACATTTAATTGAAAGAACAAATAATCAATATAATTTACAAATAATCAATACAATTTTTTTCGGTGTAGTATACGCTCGCTTATTATAAATTTGACATTTATACGTCCGCTTATTATAAATTCTAAATATACACGCTCGCTTATTAAACATTAGAAATTTATACTCTCGGTTACTGTAAAATCAATTTTTTTTCTTTTTTTTCGAAGGAGACAAAAAAATTATAATAAATCATATATTTTTTTTTCAAGTACAAAAGTAAACTTAATTATTTATTTATATGTAAGTTAACATGTTAAACTACTTGATTCTACTTACCTATATAATAATAATTTATTCCTGTTAATAATAATGAAGAAAAAAAAATGACATTTTTTTATAAATAAATTTTATGCCATTGTTTATAACTTTTGCTCATTTTATATAGCGGGAATAGATTTCTCTCGTCGCGGGGTATCAAATTAAAAGAAAAATGATGAAAATATGTTGAATAGTTAACGAGAAAATAGCAATTTTAATTGCGCTGCTGATTTTGAGAGCCAGACTCAATTTTTCTGTCGAGTATTCGTTGGCTTCCCCCACTCCGCCGCCGCGCGATAGATCGTGAAAATTATTGCCGAGGGCTGATTTTCCCAAATTTTTTTAAGCCGTTTACCTTTTTCCCATAGACTTGAAATTTTCATCCCTAAAAACTAGAGGTATTCCGCCAATGACGATATTTTTTTTTCCACTAGTGGCATAAATTGTTGAACAATAAGCCAAAAACTTTGCCTCCTGTAACTTTTTTGTTTATCAACGGATCTGTGCCATCGTTGTTTTAAATTGAAGTTTATTTGAATTGCTATCCAAACCCAAAATAATTATTACAAAAAAATTACTGAAAATGTTATTAATCTATTTTGCAATTAAGGTCGCTTTTGTTTTTTTGCTCCCACGGTCGCAATTTTGATTTTTTTTGATAAATCATTTTGGAAATCGATAGAGGGCATTGAAAGACATAACGTAAATTTTTTTTTCATTAGTGGATAACAATTGGGCTTCAAAAAATAAACGAGTATGTAATTTGTTTATAAGACGATAACTCGTAAACTATTAAACTTACAGATTCGCGATTCCGTACACATCATCTCGTAACAAAAAGACACCATTCAACGAGAAGCGGTGGCACAATGTTTATAACAACGCTAAAAAAAATTGTTTATAAGATTTTCAAAATACAAAAGTTAATAGTTAATAACTTTTTACCTGATGATATTTTTTGACGTGCAACCTATGGTTTTGTAGGTAATTTATTCACGAACAAATAGTATTTAACTATTTTGTTGTAAATGTTAACGGAACAAAGTTATAAAGAAAAGAACGAAAAAAGTCACAAAATTTATTAGTTTATGGACATTTTAACAATGTTCCGATACTTTCTCAGACTATGGATAGTTGTTATCTTAATGTACGCCGTTCACACTACCTGTCAAAAAATAATCGTCTTGCCGAAATGAAAAACCGCGAAACGGCCTTTTTCGGCCTATTTTTCCTGGACTAAATGATGAGAACCGGTCACCCATCCAAAACATTTTTTTTTCCTATTCGCAATACATCTAGGTTTGTTTGCAATATAATATATAGATGAGAGGATATGAATGTTTCATTTTTGACGTTGCGAGAAATGTTTCATGCGAATGATTATATTGAAGACATGAGCTTGACTGTTAAGTTTTAAAATAAAGTTGTCTAAAATTTCGAATTTAAATCATTTATTAAATACTATAGATTATTCGGTATCATTCGGCAAACTTGAGATATTCAAAGGTACGATGCTACCATCGCGGACATCGAAAAGCTTTCTCGTGGAAATATAACAAGGGTGCAATTTCTATCGGCTAAGGTTCAATTTTACTAGCTATTCATTTTTTTAATAATTGCAATAGTTACGTTGCCATCGCTGCCGCAAAAAGACAAAATCATGCCCACGAACTGTCAACGCCTTACGGCGGAAAATCTGCCGGGAAAAGCCTTCTCGTCGAAATATAACAGGGGTGCAAATTCTATCGGCTAAGGTTCAATTTTACTAGCTAGTCATTTTTTAATTAATTCAATAGTAACGTTTTCTGTCTGTATGCGCGAGTCCCGATTCGGCGCCACGGCTTGTTAAAGCTTGCAGCTGTTAAATGGACAAATAATGGGAAAAATCAAAACTAAATCATTGACAATGGCTTATCTATATAAGCCCACCAATGATTAATCAATGAATTTTGTAATTTGCACCCACACAATATATTTATAATAGAATCTCAAAATGGCATAACACGCATTAATCGAAATAAAAATGGTCCAGGTATTTTTCGAGAAATAGAAATAGGCCAAACCATAATAAATTTCCCAACAAAATGAATATTTTTTTCTATATTATTTTTTTTTCTTCTTCAAGTTCGAGATCTGGCCCAGGGTCGGTCATTTCAACATTTGTTGTTGTAGAGCGAGCCTTACTTTTGGAATTCAAAAATGTCAGCCGCGCCTGCGTATTGAACGTCTGCCAATCGCTTTGATAAGCAAAAATATTAGATGTAATTTTATTAGCTCAGATTTAATTATATTCCAAAACTAAGAAGGGTGCAAATTAGACAAGCCAGGGTTGAATTTTTATACTTTTTAGATTATTTAAAAAACTCATTATTTACAAATTAATCGACGGTTTAAAAATGCCATCTGCTTTTTTTTTTTAATAATTTAGAGGGGTTCATTTACAAATAATTGTAGTTTTAGAGGGTGCAATTAATGTCCTTTCTGGTGGTATTTTTTTTTTTTCGTTTCATGGTATCCTGCAGGCTGGAGTAATGTGGGTTGGGAATACCGGCTGTGAATCTTGATCATAGTTATATAAACAATATAGATACGATAAAACTTCATATAAAAATAAATTTTTTTGTAGTGTCATCGGATTCTCATCAACTTGTTATAGCTCCGAGCTAATTTGACTTCTTACTCAATGTGCTTATCTTTGAATAAATTACTTAAATTATATAAATTATCATAAATTACTGTCACTGTAATCTGCAAAATAAATTTTATCTACAAACTGCAGCACAAATTTTATTTTTAGTGCCAAATACATTTATAGTTAAATTCTTGTCAAGGAAGAGAAGCTGTTTTTTAGAGATGAGTAATTTAATGCTATTGGCAATTAACTATTTACTTTATTTGTATTACACATTAAAGACCATTTATAAATGTATAATGTCATTGTATCAACTAAAACAATATCATTCTACTTCTTCTCTTTTCTCCTCCTATTTTTACTCACACTTGACGTTCACTATAAGTAGTAGGACAAGTAACCCAACGTCTCCGGCAATTGTTTGTCATGCTT